AAAAACACACTTGTCTTGATTTATTGAGGGCGGGGGGTCATTAGCCATGGCTCAATTCTGATACCCCAAGCAGTAGATTTCACCATTTTGGTGTTATATCCCCAGGTTCTGAAAAGCCACATTCGAGCATATCTTCTATGTGGAGCCCTGCTGGCCTTTCTCGGATCTGTCCAGACGAGTGCCCTGACGTTGGAGAGGACCAAGTCCATTATTGACTGATTAGAGTGAAACCTCTTTCTTAACAACCTATCATTTCTCAGAGACCAGATGCTGTACATGACTGCCTCTCTGCATGCCATGGCCACGTAACATCATCCCTTACCCACCTCTTCTGTGTTGGGAGTTACACCTTCCACTACAAATTGTTCTCCCCACTGAACCTGAGCCCCCACATGTTTATTCCCTAATTTAGCCCACCAGTCCCAAATCCTCTTAGACTCCACACATTCCCACCACAAGTGAATGGCAGTTTCTATTTTCCGCCTGCATCTGCAATAATTAACTTCCACTTCCATTTCATTCCCTGCTGGCCATTTAGCGAAGGGGACTGCCCTAGGTGACTGCAACCAGGCCAGACCCCCAAACTTGAGGGAAGGGATTTTGCGAATTTGCTTCCACATTCTCTTCAAGGAGGCAGAAGTGATTTGGGATACTGAAGTAGACCTCTCCCTTGCCTCCATTATCCATCTATTCTTAACCTCGAGAGGGGCGGAGGAAGATTTAACTTGAGCCCTATAACCCCTCTTCGGTCTATAGTCCACCAGGCAGGCATTTTTCCCGCCGTCTACAGATTTCCACCCGTAGTGAAGTGGCAGTGTGAGCAGTCTGTGCGGCGTGCGCTGGTTCATATCCCACAGGGCATGAAAGCCCCTCCTGACCCTAATTATCTTTCAAACTTCTCACTACAATGGATGTCATTCTATGATTCAGTTGGATCACCTGTTTTTCTGATGGCATCAGTTCTACAATACCACTGCCTTGACCCTCGACCAGAGAGTACGGTGTAGCCACCGCATCTTTTAGATCCAGGCATTGCTGAATTTTCCATATCTGTACTTCCCCTTCCTCCTCCAAATTTCTGACCCAATGGCCCTCATAAGCGTGGAAAGGCGATAGCAAAATCATATTCCAAGAGTTCGGGATACATTCTACAATTAACTCGACCCGGTCCGGGACCTCACGCAGGTGGTGCGGCTTCGTACGTAGTTCAGTCGGGGATCTCCAATGTGTATTACAGCGTGTTCATTGAACGCGCGGTCCGTGTTCGGGTTCTGAACGCACTGAACGCGCGTTCAGTGAACGCCAGTAGACGTGATTGACGCGTTTGTGCAGGGGGTTGTGCAGGGTGGGCGGGGGCTGCAGGGAGCAGCGGTGGTACTTGGGGGGGGGTGTGGGTCACTGGGTCATGCCCCTGCGCAAACCGGCCTCACAACAAAAAAAAAAAAAAAAAAAACAACAACGGTAAGAACCCGCATTTCCACGCTGCGTTGTTTATAAGCAGGCCTATGCGTGTTCGAACGGGTCTCACTCCTGCGCTGGGCGTTCGAGCGTTGCCTGTGTCTGTTCGCATGCTAGTGCACACACACACAGAGAGAGAGAGAGAGAGAGAGAGAGAGAGAGAGAGAGAGAGAGAGAGAGAGAGAGAGAGAGAGAGAGAGAGAGA